TTGCCACGATTCATTCATACACCGAGAGCATCGAAGCTGCTCCAGTTAGGCACTATGGCATCCGTCACCTGAAATTGTTTGTAATCGTAAATACACAGCCAACCTAAATATCTTACTATTATATCTTTGTTTTTGTGTGTGGAAGTAAAGCTATTTATTTTACTCTAGATGTAAAATATACCGGAAGGTACAACTTCACACTGCATCATCTTTTCTCAAATCATTAGTCTCTAATATGATACCACTTTGTACGCTTATGTAAAATGCTATATATAGTTTCTCCTCCCTTTTACTGTGTGACCGATCACTCTTTTTATCAATGACCTCATCTGAATAAATGTATATAAAAGATTTGTGCAAGTTTCATGAAACTGGAACTCAGAGTCACTTCTTGTATAGGACACTGCTAAGTGTAGGCTTTGAAAAAGGACCCTACTTTGGGGAGTTGTTTCTTCTTTCTCAGTGCAATGATGCAACATGTTTTTAATAGAAATGAATGCCGAAATAGAGTATAACAGGGTACCCAAATTTTAAAAAAATCGAAGGTGGTGTTTTTTTTTTATTTGCATAGGAATTTTTCTTTGTTTGATTTTTTTCCCATGTTTGCCTAAATATATTGTAACTATTGTGTCACTCAGATACCTTATTTATTTTTTCAATAATAGCCATATATTAGTAAAATAATGTCTGCAAGTTATGTAATAATGATTAAATTATTTCATGAGATACAGATTTCCAAAGTTTGCCATTTGTCGTTCGAGCAGGCATGTTTGGCAATTTTTAGAAAACTAAATAAAATTTTAATAAATATTATTACTTTATATTACAAGCAAGTTGTACCCATAGTTTGTTTGTAAAAAGTTTTAAAATTCTCCTAATTTGATTGTTTTAATTATTCACTTTCAAACTTGCCCCCTCCATCAGTGCGCGTTATTGCAACTGTCCACCTCTCCCTGCCTTACGATTTTTCTTGTCTCCAAATTTTTTTTCTGGTCAAAACTAAGTGTGGATTTGTTTATACCAGACACTAGACAATAACATATAAAAACATCAGTTGATTTAAAAATGTCGACCAGCCACCCTTTGGCCGATCTTATCTGAAATCACCCTATTATAACGCGAGCCGAGGCCGCGTCAGTTTCTCGCACTCGGGGGCATAGCAGAAGTGAAAAGTCAATGGAAGTGGAAGAAATATCTGCTTATGTTTTGACAGCACTCATCCTCACTGCTTAGGTCCTTCCGCTTACAATCCACTTGGCGACTACGCAGGTATGCAGCAGCAGGGCACCTGCTTGTCTGGTAGTTCCCTTTTCTTCCGTGCGAGCCCCTCGGCAGCCCACAATCCAAACAAGGCACGAAGCAGAAGCACCAACACCAGACCACTCTGGAGCAGAAACTAAACAATGCGCAGGCAGAAGACTGCTGGACCCGATACATGGCTGCTGTAAAAGCCACTTTTGCTGCTCCAAAGACCACTTTTGCTGCTCCAAAACACCGTTTTGGCTGCTCCGAAAGGTGCTCCAAAACGGCTTAGGCCAATCACATCACTGATCTCAGAAAATGGGCATTTTGCAATATTTGGTCTCAATTTTAAAGAAGAAAAAGGACACCCGGGATTTCATTTTATATAAATAAACAGATTGCTGTTAAATCTGAGCAGACTCGTACAATATAATATGAAATAAGAAAAAATATGTGGTTAGGTGGCGCAAGTCACCGTCCAACTACCGCTATGCATCCATTCCTTTGTCCATCTGTCCTGTTTTAGAGAGCCTAGATTTAAAAAAGGGAACAAGCGAAACTGAAATGACGAAGACGGCTTCTGCGCAGATTGGTCGTAAGTGTGCATGTATTGTTTGTTACGTGGAAAGAAGGCGAGCAAACGGAAGAGCGACGACGTCTGTCCGATCGACGCTTTCGTCTTTTCGTCACCTTCTCGCAGTTCGTAATTCAAACGCGGCTGTCGAACAGGTGGAAACCCTCTCAAATCTAGGCACACTATTTTTCCGTTCCGTTTCGTTCCAAATCTGATTTTGCAGCATGCGGTTCCAAAAGAAAGACGACGACCACAACTCGGCTGGTTTCATCGGCGTTGTTAACATGGTTTCTATATGTGATCTTGCAGTCGCCGATTTTTGTGAGTGTCGCGAGTGTGTTCTACATCGCCGCTTCAGTTTAAAACGAGGGGCTTTACTCGTGAAAAGAATTGGGCATGGTGCGGAATTCCGGCCTCCCAACCATTCGTCCCTGGAAGTGGCGCAAGCGGGACGTTTCGGTAGTGATTGAAGATTAGATTGCGTCACTTTCATGAGTACATCTGTGTGCTATAAAGTTTGTGGCGTTTGTTACTTTTCTTTTTCTAACCTATGCGTTAGATTTTTCTGGAATGGTAGGACCAATAGGTGGCTCTTGCATGGTCTGTCGAGCATCATGGCGCTAACGTCGGGAGGAAAAACGGCTCTTTCGTCTGCTCCGCGTTGTCGGTGCGTCTTTGGCCGAATAGATTGAATATTCGAGTAACCGAATACAGTGTAGACCACATATAACGTATGTCGCGGGAGTCGCGAAAATCCGCACTATAAGCGGTACCGCGCTATAACCAAAACATCAATTTTTCAGGTCAAAATACATGCCATCAGACAACTTACCTTTGTAAAAGAATTTATTTTATGTTAGATGAAAAATAAAGCTTAGTTTAAGGAAAGTCTTTATTTCACCAGACTAGTACACTTCTCTCTCAAGTGTGTCGCACATTTTGAAAGAAATGAGCGACTTTTGCCTGGCGCAGCCTTTTAACGGCGTCGCGGGTTGCGGACGGACGTTGCGAACGTTTAGAATTGCTAGCCCTAATCACTTTTCTCCGGCGATGAAAACGCGTGAAAATTCGCATCCTTTATACAGTACGTGCCAGTAATACCTTCAACTTGAGCACAGGCATGAAATGCTCCAAATAAGAAATCCAGGCGATGTTCGAAAACACAAACGCTTAGAAAGCACCACTGTAGTCGAAGTAAACAAACACGACGACACGGGCGTTTCTGCCGTCTTGAGAGCGCCGCCACAACATCGCCGCACGAGTAGGTGGATCTTCCCTTCTAGTACGCGCTGGGTTATCATAGCGACACACAACGAAAATTCGCAGTCAAGGATAGCGCTTTTACGTGGAACGATGAGCTTCCACCACGCCGTCTGCGTCGACGATCACAACCGACGCCATGTTTGCGGATAGAAGTAGCCGGCCCGCGACCGGCATGCAACGCACGCGAACACTTCACGACCTGCGATTGGTCTGTTGTTGGGGTTGTTTTCCAACGCAGCGGAGGGATGCACGCACGTGAACGACACGTGCGTGCGTCCCTTCGTTGCTATGGCAACTGAAGCCTCTCTCTCTTCGCTTCTCCACGCTTCTTTGAGCAACCTCCTTGCCCCGCGAGTGCCGCTTGCGGCTCACGCCGTTATCTAGTGTTGCACAGGGAAGCGTGCTCGCTGCGTTGTTCAGTCGGCGAGCTGTTCCAGAAACCGCACTATAACCGGTATTTCCCTTCGTGCACCTGCATTTTAAGCGGTATGTAATTACATGGAGTTCTGTGGGAGGCGAACCGGTGGTTTAAAAAAGCTGTGTTATACCCGGTCCTGCACTATAAGTGGTTACGTTGTAAGTGGTCTATACTGTAGTAGGAATTCGATTGGTGAATCGAATTATTCGGGTACTTGCTGTTCGATTCGAATTTGTATATTCGAGTATTCGCACACCTCTACCGAAAACCTAAGCTGCCCAGATCACGCGTGTCAATAAAAAACAAACAAAAAACAACGTAGTTAGCGCTCCTGCATTATCTCGACACTCCCTCAAAACATTGGCGACCGTGAATCGGGCGAAAAACTGCGAAAATAAGCCAACGTGGAGCGAGCCGTAAGGCTGTTCCAGCGGCCTCTGGAGTGGCTGTTACAAGAAGTGTCGCCACCCCCGGGAGTCGGGCATGCCGTGCGCTGTTCACTGTCGTACGTTCGGGTTAATTTTCGAATCACGATCAATGATACTCGTTCGTGCAAATGAAAAGAATAAAAGAATTTGTCAAGTGAGTGCACAGAATATCGCGATGCTACAGGTACAGCCGACTGAAGTCTTAACAAGCCGAGGTGTTCTTGATACAGCGATTGTCTCGTTTAGGTCAGCGGTAGAATGCTTTGGTTCTGTTGTAAGTCGACCCCCCCAGTTCAGATTTCCAACAGTTGAAAAATGGGTCGACCTACATTTGTGTAAATACGGTAGCTATGTGACTTCTGGCATTCTTTCCTCCTCTATATTTCTCCCGTGCGCAGGTTTTGGTTTCAAGCAGTTGGGTTTCTTGGCTTTATTAAAAATATACGTGACTCTGTAGCAAAATCTTAATGGGGTAGTGTTCTTACACCACATTGAATAGCCTGGCAAATAAGGAAACAAATGATTTTGGGGGGGTTCAGTTTAATAATTTTTTTTACTCGGTGAAGCTGCTGCTTGTTGTTCATAACCAAGGTTTATTTGATTCAATATTCGGTCAGAGTGTTCCTCAGTGTTCCCGGCAACCTAGAAGGCTGCTGACGCTGTCTTTTTGGCCCTATCGCTTGTATCAAGTCGCTGCTTATATCAAATTCTTTTGCTATACCGTTGACTTAGTTATAACGAGGGATTACTGTACATTGTATTTATAGTACTTTGAAAATTGTGTAGTATGTATGTTTCTACGGCCTGAAGTTGGTCAGCCTGAACGGGCGATTTGTTTCTCAGCTGTAGGTGAGCAATTTAGCGACTGCTAGCCTTTGACATGCACAACGTAGTAGTGGTACAAGACTGCACGGTGGTACGATGCTCAACCAGAGGGAAACAGGCATGGCTGGGGATTCGGGCTGTGTGCTGACCCACTGTACTTGAAGTACATTGTTCCCGGTGTACGTTCACTTGTACTTTAGTTGAAGTACTTGTTGGATTCTTCAAGACTGAGGTCCATCAATGTTGCCAGGTGGTGCGACTGGATCGGCAGGCAAGCCGAGTGCGGCTTTCGGCCCTGCACTTGGCGGCCAGGGACGTTGTGGCAGTCTTGCGGGAAGCGCCGAACCAGGCCATGACACTACCGCAGCTGGAGAGAGCCTTCCGTAGTCGGTGAGTTTTGGACGTCTTTTGGCACATCCGAAAGACCTCGGGGAGGTTTCCCAGGGGAATTGGCGGAGAATGCCTCGGGAAATACACCTAGGAAGCAGATTTCTTGGTGTATTTCCTGGATTCATCTCGCGCGCTACTTGTCGAGTCAAAACAATTGGTCGGCGTCTGTTCCTTGTCGGCGAAAGACGAGCGTGTGTAATATCCTGAGCCCACCCCCCTGTCGACTGAAATAGATAAAAAAAGGGGGGGATGGGCCTAGGCCCAAGCAGCACAATTCACCGGCTCAAGCTTGAGCCTGCTCGGGCAGCCGGGGAAAGTTTCCCTGGCCCAAGCACCGTTTTGCTCCAAGGGGCAAGCTAGCCCCAGCCTGGCTAGCCGGCCCGGCAGTTCAGTGGGGGTTCCTTGTACAGCCAAGCTTGGCTAAACGGTGTAAAACAAGCCTGGGCCAGGCTGGCAGTTCAGTGGTCAGCCAAGCTTGGCAAAACGGTCTAAATGCATCCTGGGCCACACTGGCAGTTCAGTGGTCAGTCAAGCTTGGCAAAACGGTGTAAATGCAGAGTGGGCCAGGGTGGGAGTTCTCTGGTCATTCAATCTTGGCTATACGGGGAATTTACAGACTTCTCCCAAGGAAGTCTATCTTGTCATTCAAAGGATGTTTTTTGTGGCATATGATATAGTCAAACATCTCCAATTTTTGGTGCTGTGTGCAGAAAAAAACTGGTTGCTACCTTGTTCCGGATTTAGTGACCCACGATTAATGGAGCTGCTAAAGTAATTTTCTCAGAATACTTAAACAATAAAATGAAAGTTGAAAACATGCACGAGCTGCTGTATTTATTGTGCGGTTGGCATGCAAATGAAGCTGCAAAATCAAGTCAAGTTTGATACAGTGGTTTTTTATTTCATGTTCAGTACATGGTGCTAGCTTATGCCCGAGTTCCACTACAGCGACAAACAGAAACAAATGACGACAAGTCTCAAACCTGAGTCTTTCCCGATTTGACAGGCTTTGTAGAATAAAGGAGGCTATGCTTAAACAGAAGCATCATGCACGCGAGGGTATCTTTGGCAGGCTTAGAATCACTCATGCTTATTTCACGAGCACCGAACGAATAAACGCCGCCTGCCAAAAGTACCACCACGGGCATGCTGAATGGGTTGGAGGCTTGTAGCTGTCGTTTGTTTCTGTTTGTCGCTCTCGTGTCCCACTAGAGCGACAAAGGCTGGTTGCTGGTCGAGTATCTGCTGCCTGGCAACTGGGCTTCACAGCTAGTAGGTGGCTCTGCCGATTCGAGTACTAATGACAGCAGTTGTACATAGTTCACCCCATGGCCACCTCATGGCTGTGACGTAGAGCTGGATAGCAGCACCTGGAGAAGGAACAAGATAACCAGTGATGCATGTTTAGTAAATATGTTTTACATGAAGTATAAATCATGCTCCTAATTAAATTATAACAGCAGAAAGGCCACCCAAAAGGTCTTGGTGGTATCTTCAGTCTCCTTCAATATAAAAGACGTACTAAAAGCGCGTGGCCGAGATGACCGTGGTCGGGGGCGCTATGTGCGCTCCACGAGATTCTGTTCTGCCTCGAGGAAAGGACGCTCACTCGGTGCTGAACTGGTCCTGAACTTGCGGACAGTTTTTGGTTTAGGTTTAGACTAAGAGCGTGCTTTATCGGCATTGCGCCCACAGATATGATCATGGAGGCTCGAAGTAAGCATGCTCATTATTGTTTTTGTTATCAGTTGTTTGTGGTGTAAAATTTGAAAACAGGCGCAAATATTAATGTTGCACCCGAGTCTCATATTTGAAAAATAAAATGTCTTGATGAGTGGATTTATTAATCAGAAGGATGGCATGGACCATGCACTTTAGAAGTGAAAATAATTGCCTTGACTCGGGCCAGTTTCTCTCGGACAGCCATTTCAGAATTAGTGGCTGTGACATAATGTGAATGAACTGCTCTCCACTGTGAACCCAAAAACTGATAAGTGTGCATTGCACTTTAGCAGAGCACTAAGTGAGTTCCCCCTTGGGTAGGTTGGGATCTCCCAGAGCACACCAGTCACTGCCTCGGCCAGGCGCTCCCACTGGGTCTTTCATACTGCAGGAGAATACATAACGCAGAAACTACAGAACTTGACAGTGACAAACATGATTTCCCTCCATTTGTAGAATACTACTGTCAGTAAATGCAAAATAAAAGCCAGTTAGAGCACCTCAATGTAAACACCACATATAACATACAGTACTGTGGAAGGTTGCTCAGATCGTTTGAAAGCAGACTTTGAATTGCCGCAAGGGAATTTTTCTTGATTCTCTTGATAGTAAAACCAAGCCATAAGTACAACTTCACTGTAAAGACAATGTTTTCTATCTGCTTTTCATTAAATGCATAGAAGTACTTTTTGGTATTTATGTTACCTACCTCTAAAAAGACGAAGGACCAGTAAAAGGAAACACAGACACAGTTACGTACAAAACGAGCATGTTGGTAACAGTAACTAAACATGAGGAAGACACAGAGAAAGGGGGGGACAGACGGACAACGAAGTTGTCCGTCCCCCCTTTTTATGCGTCTTCCTCATGTTTAATCACAAACACAGCGCTGTCTTTACTTTTACTGGTCCATCTTTTTTGCGCTGTTTTAACCCATTCAATATGACCACCAATCAACTCGCCCAACTTTACACCTTGCTACCTCTAAGGTTGCAATATAAAGTGGTCTCAACTTCCACTGACAGCCCTGAAGCTATAAACCCACAAAAAACCAAATTCCCTAGTAATTAAAACGACACAAAAGAAAATCAGATCAGAAAAACATTCAGTCTGACTTGATTATATTGAATCAATAAACACAATGAATGTGAGCAATATTCTTGTGAAATTGTATTATAAACTTTCAATGTAAAATAGGATGAGAGTCCTATTAAAGGGAAGCTACGGAGCTTCTTGGAAAAAATGAGGTAGAAGTGAATTCTAGTGTATTTTTACCCCGTGAACCCGAATACCCAAACCATTTGCTGCGTAAGTATCGTTAAACGCGAGAAAAACGCGAAAGACAGTCGCTGTCCATGACGTCATCGACGGCTCTTTTGGCTGCCCAAGGCTAGGGGGGCGGGGCTTCAGCCCTATTTTGAAATTGCTCTTGTAGCTCTCCGGCGCGTCGCATTGAAATATAATTTTGATATCTGTTATTCTAAAGGCCAAATGAATGCAATTCAAGCGTTTTTTCTCAAATGTAGAAGTGCCCCATCTTCCCTTTAAAGCAACCAAGAGGAACAACAACCGACCCCGACACGACTTAAATACATTCAGCATGCACACGAAGATACCTTTGGCAGGCTTCCCATTTTTCGAGGCTCATGAAAAAAGCACAAGTTATTGCAAACCTGCCAAAAGATATCTTGGTATGCATGCTGCATGGTCTTGGGGCTTAAAGGGACACTGACAGGGTATTTATGCTCGCCGAGGTTTTTAGTTGTACGTGACATATGAGAGCTCAACTACCCAGAACAGAATTTGCGGCTCGAAATTCGGTTTCTTTCCGCCCGAAAACCGCCGATCAAGAACTGGCCGGTTCGAGTCTCGCTCACTCTCTTTTTCGCGGTCACGGGCCGTTTTCTAAGGTATCGATGCGACCACCAAATTTAATCCAAGTCGTGGGTCACTGAAGGCACACACTCAATATTAAAAATAGAAAAAAATATGAAACCCATTTTTTGTGGCTTCTAAAAAGCTGTAAATACGTTGATTAAAAAAAAAGTTCCACAGACAACCGGAAGCATTCTGTGCGTTCGTCGTTTCGCGTATCGTGGGACTCGCGGGGACGACGATGGCAGCGGACGACGGGCGTGGGACCTCTATTTCAGAACTGTCGTTCGCGGTACCGGCGAATTCTGTTTACCGTTAAAAGAGAAATTTGGGACTGATCAAAAGAATTGGTATTCATCCCGTACGACACGCCCGGCCATCAAGCCGATTTGCACGAAGACGTCGCCGAGCCGTCGCTCCCTTCTCGTGGCTGAAGACATCGCTCGCGCAAACGTCAAGCACGACGTGTCTACTTCGAGTTGAATATGCACGCGTACGATTTCTTCACTAGGTGCGAATGTCCCCAAAGCGTGGTGCTTCCCGACTTCAACCCGGGAGTGCTTTTGCTAGAGAAAAATCGACAGCAAACTTTCCAACTTACAGTTTACCGGCTGAAGTATTACCAAGGAAAGAGATACCCCACAAGAGAAATGCGGCAGTAGCTCAGTGGGAAAGACGTCCGGTTAACACGCGGTAGACCGAGTTCGATCCCCCGTGAAACTTTTTTTTTTTTCAAACATTTTGTGATGTTTACATATCTTTTTCTTTTTTTTGTTTACAATCATCACTGAAGAAAAAAACAAAAAAATAACAAACAAATGTTGTGGACGATACTTCACTGAATTAAATGGTATGGGATTTCCGTTTTGACACCTGCGAACTCAATGTAATCACTTTCCACAAAATGCAAGGAGCATATAAATCAGGTAGCGTCCGCTTTCCGAGGTGCCCGTATATGTTCTACAGGAATTGCAGCCAGCCATTGGTCCCGATCCCGTTGATCTTTCGGAAACTCTGTCGCACAAAGCCACTTTTTTTCGGACGCAGGACATGTGAGCCAGCTCTTCACGCAACATCTTGGGTGTATTCTTTTCGGAGCCGATCATGGAAATTCACCACGGGCACTCACTACTCATCTCCAACTCCTCAATGTACAAAACAACTCATCTTGGAGTACAGAACAACAAGCGGAACAAACATAACTGCAACAAAATCGCACGGCGAGCAGTTCCCGCACGCCGCATCGCACGCCGCATGTCGTGTCGTCTGCTACGGAGAGGAAAAAAAAAAAAAAAAAAAAAACGCACGGTCGGGTGTAGCCACGTGACTTCCGCCACTCACTCTCTTCTCTCCACTTCTCCGACCTCTGTCGGGTTTCGGTTTCGGTTTCGAGCAGTTGCGTC